AGCAAAGGAAGATGGTGAACATAAGGTGAAAGACTTCATGAAAGAGAGAGTGTATTCTAAAAAGAAATCTCTGAATGAACGTATCCCCCTCAACAAGCACCAAAACTTTGCAAATCAAGAACTGAAGACAGTAAATGAAGATAACTTCAAAGAGAAAACTGGAGAAATTGAATCTAAAGCATTGGCCTCTGTCCTTGGGCTTGTTGAAAACAGTGGTGCCCTCAAACTTGAAGATGTGTTGCAGCATGGTGTTACATCTGAGTGCCTTCCAATCTTCAATGTTAATGGAACCATGCGGAAGGTCCAGAAATGTAAACTCCAGGAGAAACTTACTATGACCCCTGTTCCCGAACCTGATGTGTATACCTCTATTGTTGATAAGGGTCTCATCTGGCACCTGGCTACTCCAACCACTGAAGACAGAGAAAAGGGTGATGGCACAAAGTACAGATGAGGAGACTATGGGGATAAGGTTGTGCACACTGTTTTTACAAGGCACAAGCATGCTGAGCAGATCATTTGCATCAATGACAAATATGATCAGAATTCCATCAAAGACAGTGTGAGCGTATCCTGCGCCAAAATGCCAAACCAGTCAGCAATGTGTTCATGAAGTCTGAGGAAACATTTCCTTCAAGAAACATTTCCACTCTCTCTTGTATAATCCTAGCAACAAGATTCGCTTGCAGGTATTTTTGCAAAATGCATTCCAGAAAACTGCTGCTTCAACTAATGTGGAAATCATTTACTGTGTAGTAGGCGGCAGTCCAAAGAATCTAACCACAGGTAAGCTTATGCCAGAGTTAACATGTTTCCAAGCAGAGGCAGACACAGCCATATTTACCACATATAGTATGCTTCGGTCTGAGGGCTACACAGAGGCTGTTGTCGTTGACACTGAAGATACTGACAACCATGTACAGGCTGCATATGTTGCTAAAAAAACACCAGGCCTGATGTGTATCAAAAAGAAACACCAACTGATCTCTGCTAGATGCTTGTGTGACGAGGAAATGGCAGAATGCATTATACCAATTCATGTGCTTACTGGATGTGACCATAACTCTGGTTTCTATGGGATTGGCAAGAAGAGTATTCTACATCGCACCCAGCATTCTGAAGAAGCACAGAACCTGTTAACAAGTTGTGGTAGAGAACTTCCAGTCACACAAGAAGTCATAGAGGACTTAGAACGGTTTGTAATTGGTTATGTCTATTGTGATTTCAAAAGCTCAAGTTTAGGAGAAGTCAGGGCATCCAAGTGGAGAGCACAGACTTGCACCTGATTCGGACAGTCTCCGTCATCACTTGGAACGGGCAAACTACTTGGCATATTTGCAAAAGCATTTTGATCTCCAGAGTCACCCCTCTCCAATAGGTCATGGTTGGCATTGTGATGCCAGCCTTTACCTGCCTGATCGTTACACACAGCCTTCTTTACCTTCAACAATTACCTTACCTGCAATCTCACCAGCAGACGATAATGACAGTGATCTATCTAGTGATTCTGATGACGGCAGTGATGAGAGCTCATGCAATGACTCATGTAGTGAATAATTGTAAAGAGTTTCCAAAGCATCTTTTTAGTTGCGTTCTGTAGTTCTTAGCACAGTATTACCTCCTCATATAATTAAAAGAATTTCAAACACCTAAATAATTTTGAATGGTGTCCATTTTGAATATTGAGATAAATATTATCCCAAGGATATAATTAACCATTCCAATAGTTTTATAATGTTAAAATTAGTTAGATAAGACACCTCATTTGTTCTTGTAGCCCATCTAGTATTCGAGATATGATATTTTCTGTTTTTCAAGATGGCAGCCGGCAGCCATCTTGGAATTCAAGGTCAGAATTGCTTCTAATGTAAAAAATAACGATTACAATGGATTTATCACGTTCACATTAGTGGAATTAGACACCTTATATGTGTCTGTGGCTGATATTCTTCCATAGATATACTATTTAATGCGTTCTGGCAGAGTTAGCCGTCATTTTCCAGAGGGTCATGGGGGCTATTTTTTTAGTTAAACATGTCAGTTAAAAAAATCCATCATAAAAAAAGGTAGGAATAAAGTGGTCACGGATTCCAGGGATATGACTCTACTAATACTGAAGTTTTCAGAATGATAGTTAGTATTTCTGACATTGTCACACATATTTAGTATAACATTTTCTTGATAGAAATGTTATTCAAGGACGATTGAAAAATGGCATCCCCAAGCTAGGAAATTATATCTGGAAATTATATGCACATGTGTTATGTGTTTTTTGTTTCGAATTAAGTTTCTAGTATACTTAACTAAATACCGCACAGAAATTTATCTTAAAATATACTACAATTCAGGAATAAATCGGTGTCATATCTGAGCGACTGTATTTGTACCATTTAACTGAGAATGACTGATATGTTATCCTTACTATGTACCTCTTTGATGAAACCCACGACCAAGGGTATGATCATCACCTACCAAGAGTCGTATGCTGGGCGAATCGAACCCACGGCATCGGGAAGGCAAATACACCTTGGAAGAATGGACCGCCACGTGCCCCTGTGAGGACCCGTGAAGATTCCGGGGTAGAATAGGTCTTCTGCAACCCATGCTTGCCGTAAAAGGCGACCATGCTTGTTAGGCGACTAACGGGATAAGGTGGTCAGACTCACTAATTGTGTTGATCGATGGTCATGGTGTCAATCTCTGGTTTGTATGGACCAAACTCGATTATTTACAGACCGCCGTCATATAGCTGGAATATTACTGAGTGCGGCGTTTAACAACAAACAAACAAACAAACCCAATGAAGAGGAGCAGCGGCAAACATCCCACACCACACATCTCCCATACAGGCAAGATCAACTCCTGGTGATATTTCTCTCTCATTGTTGTCTTCCATCACTCACTTTCTATAAACTTCCCAATGTTAGCGCGCCTCCACGTGACGCAAACAATGCAGATGCAGTCATCCAATGATCTCTAAATGTGGCCAACGCTGCATCCTTAATACCCATCAACTGCCCGGCTACATGGCTGTCGGTCAGAATCACTATACAGAATTGTGATCATGTCCCTTGTTACAGAACGAAAAGGAAAACGCTCTAATTCATTTATGTACTCAACCCATGGGAAATTGTTGGCATACACAATGTGAGATTTACTCGATATAATGAACAGAATAATCTCCATAAGCTTTATGAACAAACATTGATTCAACTATACAAAACCACATCGAAACTTTCCCAATTCCGTAAATGCATTCACGACCAACACAATACACTTACATGGATATATGGATAAAGATCTTAAATTGAATATAAGAGTATATTTGGTAAATCCATTATCAATATCAAGACAAAGGGTAACATGACCTATATCTTTATTATTTCAATATCCAACGCTGTCCGTGTACATTAAGAAAGAGTTCTTTAAGAATGTTGATCATTCACTACATTTATCTCATTTCCTGTTACCAGTCATAATCATGGGATGCGTCGGTGCCACCATCATGTTGTTTACTGCCTCGTTGATTTCACAATGCCCATACAAATATCAGTGAAAGCTGACCAGGACGCATCAATAGAGAGGGATACAATTCCACAGACAGCCACAACACTGGCACAAGACCATGGAGACGGCCCCATCTGGAAAAACGATAAAGCCTTTAATCACCGCATGCTGGTAGCGCCAGTTCAGTTGAAGCACACACAGAAATATGATAAACGCCTGATCAAACTTTAGCTGAAAAAATGAGTGAGTATGGTTTTACGCCGCTTTTAGCAGTATTCCAGCAATATCACGGCTGGGGACACATCGTACCAATGCAGGGATCGCATCCGTGTCTTCGGCATGACGAGCGAACGCTTGAACCTCAAGGCTACAACACCACCCAGATGAGGAAGAAATGATAACATAGCTTTGAAGTGGGATTGGGATAGGGAGAAATATGTTTATATTCCAAAATGGAACTTTCTTTATTGAAATGTTACTTTCAAAATGGTAAAATCTCGAAAAGCGGCGTTGAAAACACAATCGGAAGAACCTGATGCAAACGCCTCTCGAAAAAAACATCAACGAATGGACGCAAGCATCGAATAATCACTTGATTTAAGGATCTTCATTAACTAAACACTCGGCGCGTTACTAATATATATATATATATATATATACGTGTATGTATGTATGTATGTATGTATGTATGTATGTATGTATGTTAGACTAAAATCTAGTCTCTGAAATGAACATATCATACATAAAAAAACAGTTGTTCAGTTATCTTAATAAAAATATAATAAAAAGGAGCCCAGTGACTCTCTTCATTTTCAGATACTGCAGTGATCTAGACTTGCCAAACATTATAGACTTGCATGGGCTGTATTTGATATATATTTGTATCAGGGTCTGTAAGACAGACTAGTATGTATGTATGTATGTATGTATGTATGTATGTATGTATGTATGTATGTATGTATGTATGTGTGCATGGATCTAGTACGATTGCCACAGCCTCCCTCTATCTAAAGTACCAAACCTCATCTACCACATACAATATACAACCCTTAATCTAGCAATATCCATAGTATTTTCTTCATAACTTAACAGTGTATATTTGCACCTTTCAACAATTACTTACTCTAATATGTATGCCCTAAGCTCCCTGATTCAACAAGTCCATTTAAAGCCTAAACATACCTTGACCCGCATCTACACCCAGGCAGTTCATACAAAACACACGAACACCCACACACTGACCCCCACCCAGCCATACACACACCTTTTCTTAAAGTCTAACCATTTTCCCATCATTGCCCCAGTCTATCAACAAAACACCCTCATTCAACTCCTTGATACGCTTGCCTCTGCCCTTATGCCCCGGCATGCTGGCATCTCCTTGTAGGCGTGACGGCTTGTGAAAAGGAACATCGCGACGAGCATCCTGCGTCTGTTAACTGACTGTATGGTCAGCAGCAAGCTGGGCTTCCTAACCTTGTCTTTCTCCTGTAAACCGTCGCGCGGTACACACGCTGCTGGCGTTAAGAGTCGCCGCGTTACAGTTTCTGATTGCCTGCAGCGATGAAATCACAAGAGGGGTGAGAGGAGGCGACGCCAGAGCAACAAGCGGCGTTATATCGGACCCTGCACATCTGGAGATGATGTAAACTGTCTGCAGCGCTAGGAAAACCCGTTGTTGATGGACATTATTATCTGTGTGTTTGTACGTGTTGTTTACACTGTCAGTGAACCATATATACACAGGCTGATGAAGGCAACAAAAGTATTTGACCACACTGCTACTCGCGTTAAAGCTGCACTTAAGTCATCATTATCACATACAGAGAACGTGTAGATTATTTGCAGTTGTGTATTTGTGTGTTGCGAAATGGTCCCATTTACTGACTTCATTTCTGCTCTGACCAGTCAATCAGCACCACGCAGGCTTACAGGAATCGTGATTCTTTAGAACAATGTCCAGGGCCAACTGGAGCCGCGCCACCTGCAAGCACCTCTACGAAGTTAACGGCACCATCCAGCAATGTTACTTCACCGACGACGACCTGCTACACGCCATCTACTCCTACATCGAGCCGAAGCCTCACGAATGGGTATTTACGGCGCTGTATGTGATTGTGTTCGTTCTGGGACTCACCGGCAACTTTCTCGTGTGTTTTGCGGTGTGGAAAAACCGCCAGCTCAGGACGTCAACCAACCTGTTCCTTGTGAACCTAGCTGTAGCGGACTTCCTCGTTATTACGCTGTGTCTCCCGCCGTCGTATATCCAGTCCATATGGGAGACCTGGTTCCTTGGGGACGCCATGTGCAGGATTGTGGAGTATTACCAGGTAGATATATTTCTAATTACCTTCTTATATGTTCGTAGAGGTGTATCATTAATACTTCCTAACATATTTACTTCCAAGAATGTATATGGATTTACAAAAGGCGTTTCACACCGTTTTCACGAAACATATAAATGACCTTTAGCTCACCTGACTAAAAGTCAGGTAAATTTCTGATGGCGGGTCTATCTTCTCTTCGTGAACAAGCTAAGGAAAGAAGTTGAACCTTCCAACCAACGTTGACACTTTATTTGCTTGAAAACTCTCAGATGGTCGCGTCTTTTTCGCTCAGCTTTTCCCGAACGCCTGGTGCTATCACCATTTGATCGTGGTTCATAAACATATATGCTCATGATATAGTCGGAATCGTAATCGACTCTTTCAGCACTGATTTCTTATGAAAAATAGGGTTTTGTCACGTATTGTGAATATTAACTTAATTTGTTCTTTGTAGTCTTGAAACTCCTGCATTCTCAAAGGGGCGGTCGGGTAGCCTTGTGGTTAAAGCGTTCGCTCGTCTCGCCGAAACCCAGGTTCGATTCCCGACATGGGTACAATGTGTGAAGCCCATTTCTGGTGTTCCCCGCAGTGATATTGCTGGAATCTTGCTAAAAGTGGCGTAAAACCATACTCACTCACTCACTGCATTCTCAAAACCATATGTTTAGGTAAATATTGCATGAATGTATATCGATGTCTTTTTTATTTTTTCATAAAAAGTTAAATATTAATGAACAATGAGCCACGAGGGCTGAAATGCTGCGTGTATAGGTATACTATCAGATGAACGACAAGTTCGTAACGAATGTTAAGATAATATCGTTAGTTAACTCCGTATGACACACAACACAACAACATACGCAACGCGCATATATACTACACGCAAAACACAACGCACACATGCAACATGCAACATGCACAACTCTCAGATATAACATTCACAAAACTCACATATAACATACACAACGAACACATACAACATACACAACACTCACATACAACATTCAAAACACTCACATACAACATACACAACGCACACATACAACATACACAACACTCACATACAACATTCACAACACTCACATACAACATACACAACGCACACATACAACATACACAACACTCACATACAACATTCACAACACTCACATATAACATTCACAACACTCACATACAACATACACAACGCACACATACAACATTCACAACACTCACATACAATATACACAACGCACACATATAACATTCACAACACTTAGATACAACATACACAACGCACACATACAACATTCACAACACTCACATACAACATACACAACGCGCGCATATAAAATACACAACACTCACATATAACATTCACAACACTCAGAAACAACATACACAACGCACACATGCAACATTCACAACACTCACATATAACATTCACAACACTCAGATACAACAAACACAACGCATACATGCAACATACACAACCTACATTTACAACATACACAACACTCACATATAACATTCACAACACTCAGATACAACGTACACAACACTCACATACAACATACAAAACGCAAACAAACCACTTAAGACACACGAACACACTCTCTCTCTCTCACACACACTCACACACGCACGCTGACACACACACACTCTCCCCCTCACACACCCCCACCGTCCACCCCTCCCATCTCTCTCTAACACACAAATACACATACACACACAAACGTCATAATCTTTTGATCTTCCCGCATGAGAGCCGCGTCCAAAGTTCTCTTGGATTGAACACATACAACATACACAACACCCACATACAACATACACAACACTCACATATAACATACACAACGCACACATACAACATACACAACACTCACATACAACATACACAACGCACACATACAACATACACAACACTCACATATAACATACACAACACTCACATATAACATACACAACACTCACATATAACATACACAACGCACACATACAACATACACAACACTCACATACAACATACACAACGCACACATACAACATACACAACGCACACATACAACATACACAACACTCACATATAACATACACAACGTACACATACAACATACACAACACTCACATACAACATACACAACGCACACATACAACATACACAACGCACACATACAACATACACAACACTCACATATAACATACACAACGCACACATACAACATACACAACACTCACATATAACATACACAACGCACACATACAACATACACAACACTCACATATAACATACACAAAGCACACATACAACATACACAACGCACACATACAACATACACAACAGTCACATATAACATACACAACGCACACATACAACATACACAACACTCACATACAACGTACACAACGCACACATACAACATACACAACGCACACATACAACATACACAACACTCACATATAACATACACAACGCACACATACAACATACACAACGCGCGCATATAACATACACAACGCACACATACAACATACACAACGCACACATACAACATACACAACGCACACATACAACATACACAACACTCACATATAACATACACAAGGCACACATAAAACATACACAACGCACACATACAACGTACACAACACTCACATATAACATACAAAACGCAAATAAACACACAAGACACTCGAACATACTCTCTCTCTCTCACACACACACACTCTCTCACACACGCACGCTGACATACACACACACACACACCCCTCTCTCTCTCTCTCTCTCTTTCTCTCTCTAACACACACAAATACAAACACACACACAAACGTCGTAATCTTTTGATCGTCCCGCATGAGAGCCGCGGTCAAAGTTTCCAAATCATGTTCCATGTTCTCACCTGGCAACGATGCCGCGAGCCAATTGACGTCATCACATACATCGTACATGTTGTATCAACTGGCTCGTGATATTTTGACAACTCTAATAATTCATGTATGCCTTGAATTTCACGTCGTTGGATGTTGAGGCTTTAAACGTACATCCATTGCTTTAGATGTTTTAGACCGTCAATTCTCTGTCCAGCTATTGATGGAAGCGTTATTAAACATTCACATAGGCGCACTCAATGAGTACTGGAATAATCACAGTGTATCCACCCACTAGTTTATTTAGGCGATCCTTGATACAAATATGGGTTAATGAGGAAACATGGTCCCCGGTATTCCCAAGGGGTCCTTCATGCAATATGAAACAGATTAGTACTATTAGTACTGATTAGTACTCATTTCACATGAAACAGATATTACAAGTACTAGATTTCCCCTGGGATAGGGGACAAGCAAAAGCCAAAGATATTCTTTTTTCAAATATGAGATTTGATGAGTAGGTGCAGATTTGATCAAAATGTCAGGGCCGTACAGGGTACGATTGATCAGTCGGGCTGTCCAAACCATAAGTATTTTTCTTACCTCTGCCTTACCCTTAATCCTGTTGTAAAGCTCTCCGATGTAGAAACATATCGTATGTAACTCAAGTTCCTGGTACACACAGTTAACAGGGATCCTAAGCAGAATACGATAAACAAAGCAAACTTCATGAATAATAAACGACGTATTCTATTTAACAGATGAAATACAAACAGTCATATTCTCTGAGCATGCGTTTGAAACTTCAACAAAAGGAGACATCCAATCTTTGATGGAAGGAAGAAAGGAACAACTCCATTGTGTAGCGGATAGACCTGCTGAGCGATTGAGGGCGATCGGGTGGCTCAGTGGTTAAAGCGTTCGCTCGTCAAGCCGAAGGCCTGGGTTCGATTCCCGAAATGGGTACAATGTGTGAAGCCCATTTCTGGTGTTCCCCGCCGTGATATTACTTGAATATTGCTAAAAGCAGCGTAAAACCAAACTCACTCACTGAGCGATTGACGGGTACGATAATGTCTTGTGGCGTTGTCTGGTTTACAGTGCTGTTTCCTGTGGTAATGCACCTAGCGCTTGGTTTCGTCAGAGATCTGCGATCTCCGGTTTCTTGGGGGAACTCTATAGTATTGTCTTTCAACATTAACCTAGTTTAGAATCAGTGAGTGAATGTTGGAATGCGCACAGTCAGCTTTTTTTCCAAGTGTATCAGGACTGGATGGAAGTAGTCGGGTCAAGGTCAGTGGAACGATGGACGATGGCATGATGAAAGCCGTCGTGCAGGATGACAATTGGCCTTGACATTCTGCCGTATGACGTTGTAATCATTGTTTGGTTTGTTCTTTACCGCTGCACCAGCTATATGACGGCGGTGTGTAAGAATCGAGTCTGGACGAAACAAACAGTGATTGATGTTGTGAGCACCGTCCACGCCGTCGGGGAAGGAGGACATGCAAACAACCAAGTCACTGAGCCTGACAACCCGATCCAAATGGTCGCCTGTCACGTCCAACCTAGGTTGCTGGAGATCTATTCAAACCCGTAATCCCACCTGTCGATACTGGGAGCTATTCTGTCCCGACTTCCTCACCTTGTATAGAAAGTATTCACCAAGAAGCAAAATGACCCACTCCAAGCTGTGACCATGGTCATTTTTTGTCCTCTTGCCAAGGTTGCGTGAATCGATCACCCTGCTGTAAGTGGTTTGCCTGATCCAGGGTCGATCAAGGCACACACTGCTGTGAAGGTAAACCCTTCAACTAACTCACTCACACAGTAAATATGATGCAACATGGCACGTGGACAGTGTGACCTTCAGCTGACCTCTATTTCTATTGGCCACCATCCGCATTACACTAGACTAACATCTAGTCTCTGAAATGAACATATCGTACAGAAAAAAACAGTTGTTCAGTTATCTTAATAAAAATATAATAAAAAGGAGCCCAGTGAATCTCTTCATTTTCAGATACTGCAGTATTCTAGACTTGCCAAACATTATAGACTTGCATGGGCTGTATTTGATATATATTTGTATCAGGGTCTGTAAGACAGACTAGCATCAAACGTTATATGAGTGCTGCATCACAATAGTTGCGCAT